ATAGTTGCTTAGAGTCAGTTGTTTTATTTGTGACAATAATGCAATGAAACATGCCAAATTGCGCAGTCATAATTTTTGGCATGCTGTCATACAAAGAAATTATGAACACATGCAAAAACAAGAGGACCAATGAAATATTCATAACTTATTTTGTAGTCAGTGTGCCAGTGTTGCCAATTTAGTGATTTTTGCCACTACACTTCCTCATCCCTTTAGAGACTTTTTTTCAAAAGCCTAGCAACAAAATCAGTTTCTTGGACAAACCTTATGTACATTCCGAGACTCACCCATGACGTCATAAAGGCGAGTTCACTGATCTATATAAATATAAATACAGATCAGTGAACTCACCTTTATGAGGTCATCTAGCAACATTAAGTGACCAGTTTCAGCTACATTTCGATTATAAGCAGTTGGCAACACTGGTCAGTGTTTTTTCCCCTTTGTATTTTAGAGGTTTAAGTGAAATGTGGGGTCATAAAAAAAAAAAATCCACACATCACTTTTGGCCACCGTTGTGTTTGGTGGGGTTAGTGCCACAATATGTAATACCCTGCTTACTGTGCATTTTTCCAATTTTACAGCCAAAAAAATGTAATTACTACATTTCTGCAGTTAGAGCATTGACTTGTTGAGTGGAAGAGGTTATTACATTTCTTACTTTGTCAGTTACAAAAAAAAATATTTGATCTTGACAATCAAGTTTGTATTGTTTTATCAACTCCATATCATCATATAACTCCAATATGTCATATCTTCACTGGAAAGTGTTTGTTTCCTCCTCTGTGCTGCCATCTTGTTACTCCTAACTAGGTTAGGAGACCTCTTCAGCTCTCTTAAATAATTTAGGAGCTGGGACCTAGTCTTAACACTTAGGAACCCTTATGAATCACTCTTATTCTTAAGTCTAGGAATAAGAGTAAAATGACGTCATTCTTAGAATTTTGACACACTTAGGACTAAAATTTTACTCTGAACGGCTTTATACATACGGCTCCAGGTCCCAGACCTGGGTGGTTTACACCTCAATGGGAACAGAAGGTAATTGCATGGAATGACCCTCTACAGTAATCAGAATATCTCTTAACTCTTTAGGATCTGTATGATCTTTTAGTCTACTTTTGTAAGATTGAGACCATTGTACCACTCGCCCTGAGACTATTCAAATGATACCAAACATGACTTTAAATATTATTTCCATTCATATAGAACATTATACTATTGACCATTCTGAGTGAACCAAGTGGAGGGAGGATGAGTAAAGGGAAGGAAGGGGATGAGAAGGAACTGATGCATATGTGAGAGAGGCGTTTCCTGCACCTCCACTCTGTGGGGTGTCTCGAAGATGCCTGTGTATGTTTGTATTGTCTGTTTCTCTGGAGATCAAAGTCTTTCATCCTTACAAAACAAACAATGCAACTTAAAAAGTTAAACATCATATTTAATGCAATAAATCAGTTAGTTATTTCTGCATTCAAAATGTTTAACAGCAAGATGCTCCCACCTCTCATTGTGACAAAGAATAGCAGAATCTGCACAATTAAAAAAAAATTTCAATCACCAAAATTATAAAAACTACTTACGGCAGCATGTAAATAATACATGTTATCAATTCAAATGTAGTTTTCTATTAAAGTAGTACATATTAAAATATCTGCTATTAAAGATTTCTCCATAATGCAGTTATGATGATATACGACTGGGCTTTATTTTATAGATTATACTTTGGGTGGGGCTGTGGAGGACTCTTTTTCACTGTCAACTCGAGCATCAGATATCACGTCTGGCACACGCAGAATCATCCCATCCAGATCCTTCCTCAAACACACCTGGCAACCCAGACGAGATCTAAATGATGTACATGCAAAATAGAAATGTGAAGATTTGCCATGAATATTCAAATCCAGCCAAATCATGAATTGTCAAAACAGAAAATTAAAAAAGACGTGCACTTTTTATTGCATGAACACTTTTTAAAATGAAGTCTGTAATTTCTATGTCAAGTGTTGAAACCAAAGGAAAGTAAAATTTTCAAACAAAGATAACTCTGCACCCAACTCTCTCTATAGGTTGAGCCCATGTTACCATGTGCTGGTCAGGATGCTCATACGAACAGAGTAATGATAGTGACCTACAGTGTTCATATTTACAGGGGAATCAACCTATGAATGGCTTACTAACTGTTGTCTCTGCATAATTTACATTTAGTCATTTTGCAGACGCTTTTATCCAAAGCGACTTACAATTGGGGAATACATAAAGCGATTCTTCTTAAAGAGGCAAACAGACACATGAAGTGCTTGTAATAGCAAGTTTTAGGCATTGTTCAAATAAGCTAGAAAGGGATATAAAATATAGACTAGGAAAGTGTATTTCAACATCAAAAAAGATACTTTCTTCATCTTTAAACTGAAGTCTGTACAAAAATATCAAAAGCTACTGCATGGCTTCTGAAGACAATTATAAAAATGATCTCCTATTGTTGTGTGATTTGGTTCACTCACGTGTCTGTAAGCCCATAAGCCAAGTCCAGCATGTCCATTTCCTCATCAGAAATAGGTCCAAGCTTCTTAAAAACGGCCTCCTCGAAAATAAGGTGGCACGTAGAGC